AATGAGGGGAAAAACAGCACTTCACACACTTCATATTTGATGGAATGTTTTGATATAATAACACTTTGCTTACTTTTTTTCTCCTTATACATAGTGTGAGGATAATACACAAAAATCACCAAACAAAAATACAGTAAAAGACTGAGATGACAACAAATGTAATAAGAATTATGTAAAATAAAATCAGCATGACTCTAGAGAATTAAAAAAGAATTACATAAAAAAATTAGTATGTTTGACATTTGGTCAGGCAATTGTAACAGTTAAATAATATGGTAATATCCTTTATTTCTCTTTGTTTTGTTTGTAAAATGATGACGAGATAATTTAGCAGACCGTTCAAAACATTTTGAGGTCTATAGATAAGGTACGTTCAGACTGTATCTCGTGTAGAAAATAAACACAAGAGCGATCAGTGATCACATGTGTCGCCTCATGATGGCCAATTTCATGGAGGGACAAGTTATGTGACAGACGGACAGACAGACGGACAGTGCACAACTAGATTTGGTACTGATCATTCCTGTAAAGTTTGGATAAAAATGCACCAGTGGTTTATGAGGAGTAGTCCGGACAAGCTTTTGTGTATCTGGCAACACACAGAAAAAAACACCTTTTTATCAAAGGGCCATAACTCGGCCAAAAATCATTCAACCGGAAAACCCCTGCAATATGAGCAAGGACTTGTGCTACAGATCAATCCTGTAAAGTTTCATTGAAATTGCATTAGTGGTATAAGAGAAGTAGTCCGGAAAAACTTTAAAAACAAGATTGCATTTGAGAAAAATGCTATGCCACCGCAATAAAACAACACTAAATAGTAGTGTAGGAACAGATTTTTTTGTTTCTATACAATTGAAAATTGTCATAATGCATATCTAATTCTTATTATCAGATTAGTGGTTAAATCTATTGTTAACTCAATAAAAGATCAGAGTAGGAATATATCAATGCACTTGAGTCTAGTGAATTTGGTGGTGAAGGTAATATTTCACACAGCCTAAAATTTCATGACTGCATCAAAGGACAACATGTAATACACTTTGTCAAAATCTAGGTCAGCTGATATCAAAGTTCACTTTTAATTTTGACACTAGAGGCAAAATTTGAACAACTTTGGTAGAGTACCTATATATGATATCATTTAACAAATATTAAAGCTCTAAGCCTTGTACCTTCAGACAATAAGATTTTTTTGATTTATTACTATATGTATATATTGAAAATCAATGACCCCGAGGCGGGGGCAATTTTGACCCAGGGCTATAATTTGAACAATCTGGGTAGAGGTCTATCAGACAATGCCTAATGCAAAATATCTAAGCTCTAGGCCATTTGGGTCTTTACAAGAAGGTATTTTAAATTTTTACTATATGTACATATAGTGAAAATCCATGACCCCCGGGGCAGGGCTGATTTTGACCCCAGGGCTATAATTTGAACAATATTGGTAGAGGTCTACCAGACAATGCCTTATGCAAAATATCTAAGCTCTAGGCCTATGGGTCTTTACAAAAAGGTATTTTAAGTTTTTACTATATGTACATATAGTGAAAATCAATGACCCCCGGGGTGGGGCCGATTTTGACCCCAGGGCTATAATTTGAACAATCTTGGTAGAGGTCTACCAGACAATGCCTTATGCAAAATATCTAAGCTCTAGGCCTTTTGGGTCTTTACAAGAAGATTTTTTAAATTTATTCTTATAATTCCTTTTGGTTGCCATGGCAACCAGATTTCTGCATGGAATTAAATTCTTTGAACAACTTTGGAAGCCCTTCACCCAAGGAACAATCCTGCCAAGTTTGGTTGAAATTGGACTAGTGGTTTTTCACAAGAAGATTTTTTAAGTTCACTATATAATCTATAACACACACACACACACAAACAAACAAACGAACAAACACACACACACACAGGTGAATCGCTATATGCCACCGCATCGCAGATGCTGCGGTGGCATAATAAAAATTATTAAATGGCCATAACTCTGACAAAAATCATTGAACCGGAAAATGCTGACAATATGCACAACTAGACTTGGTAATGATCATTCCTGTAAAGTTTGGATGAAATTGCATCAGTAGATTATGAGGAGTAGTCCGGACAAGCTTTTGTGTATCTGGCAACACACGGAAAAAACACCTTTTTATCAAAGGGCCATAACTCGGCCAAAATCATTCAACCGGAAAACCTGTGCGATATGCCCAAGGACTTGAGCTACAGATCAATCCTGTAAAGTTTCATTGAAATTGCATTAGTGGTATAAGAGAAGTAGTCCGGACAAACTTTAAAAATAAAAATTATTAATTAAAGGGCCATAACTCTGACAAAAATCATTGAACCGGAAAATGCTGACAATATGCACAACTAGACTTGGTACTGATCATTCCTGTAAAGTTTGGATGAAATTGCACCAGTAGTTTATGAGGAGTAGTCCAGACAAGTTTTGTGACGGACGGACGGACAGACGGACGGACGTTCTCACAGGACAGTAATTATGTGGCTACTCTATTGTTCTCTCTATTGTTCTTTTTAGCCACACAAAAGACAAGAGGGCCATGATGGCCCTGAGGTCGCTCACCTGTATATAGGCCCCCCCATCCCCCACTCCCCCAACGTTGCAGAGCCAATTTAACCCAAGGGCTTTTATTTGCACAAACTTGGTAGACACCCATAAGAAGATGTTTCATGCTAAACATTTAAGTTCTAGCTCATTGGGCTTTTTAAAAGAAGATTTTTTTAGTTTTTACTATACACATATAGTTAAAAACAATGACACCCCTGGGGCCGGGCCAGTTTTGACCCCAGGGCTTTTATTTGAACAAACTTTGTAGACACTTACTAGAACATGTTTCATGCTTTATATCTAAACTCTAGCTATTTGGGTTTTTTCAAAGAAGATTTAAAGTTTTTGCTAAACACATATAAAGAAAATCAATGACCCCCTGGGGTGGGGCCAATTTTCACCCCTGGGCTTGTATTTGAACAAACTTGGTAGACACCTATTAGAACATGTTTGATGCTCAATATCTTAGCCATAGCTCTTTGAGTTCTTTAAAAGAAGATTTTTTAAGTTTTTACTATATGCATATAGGGAAAATCAATGACCCCCCGGGGCGGGGCCAATTTTCACCCCAGGGCTTTTATTTGAACAAACTTGGTAGACACCCATTAGAAGATGTTTCATGCTAAATATCTTAGCTCTAGCTCTTTGGGTTCTTTAAAAGAAGATTTTTCAAGTTTTTACTATATGCATATAGGGAAAATCAATGACCCCCCCGGGGCGGGGCCAATTTTGACCCCAGGGCTTTTATTTGAACAAACTTGGTAGACACACACTAGAAGATGTTTCATGCCAAATATCTAAGCTCTAGCTGTTTGAGTCCTTTAAAAGAAGATTTTTAAGTTTTTACTTTATGCATATAGGGAAAATCAATGACCCCCGGGGCGGGGCCAATTTTCACCCCAAGGCTTTTATTTGAACAAACTTGGTAGACACCCATTAGAACATGTTTCATGCTAAATATCTTAGCTCTAGCTCTTTGGGTTCTTTAAAAGAAGATTTTTTAAGTTTTTACTATATGCATATAGGGAAAATCAATGACCCCCGGGGCGGGGCCAATTTTGACCAAAGGGCTTTTATTTGAACAAACTTGGTAGACACTCACTAAAAGATGTTTCATGCCAAATATCTAAGCTCTAGCTCTTTGAGTTCTTTAAAAGAAGGTTTTTTAAGTTTTTACTATATGCATATAGGGAAAATCAATGACCCCCAGGGCGGGGCCAATTTTGACCCCAGGGCTTTTATTTGAACAAACTTGGTAGACACCAATTAGAACATGTTTCATGCTAAATATCTTAGCTCTAGCTCTTTGGGTTCTTTAAAAGAAGATTTTTTAAGTTTTTACTATATGCATATAGGGAAAATCAATGACCCCCCGGGGCGGGGCCAGTTTTGACCCCAGGGCTTTTATTTGAACAAACTTGGTAGACACTCACTAGATGATGTTTCATGCCAAATATCTAAGCTCTAGCTCTTATGGTTTTTTAAAAGAAGATATTTAAAGTTTTTTCTTTCGGTTGCCATGGCAACCAGAGTTTTGCATGGAATTAAATTCTTTGAACAATTTTTAAAGGTGACCACCAAAGGAACATTCCTGTGAAGTTTAAATGAAATTGGCTTAGTGGTTTATGAGGAGATGTCATTTAAAGTAAAAGTTTACGGACGGACGGACGACGGACGGACGCCGGACGGACGCCGGAAGAAAAGCGATCACAAAAGCTCACCCCTGTCACTTTGTGACAGGTGAGCTAAAAATAGCCACATAAAAGCATTACGGAATGAATGACATCAAAGAGAAAGAACAGTTACCTATTGTCCCTCTAGCCACATAATTACTCTCCTGTGAGTGCGGACAGACAGACAGACGGACAAACAGACGACGGAGAAGTGATCCCTATATGTCGCCACTACTCCGTAGAGGCGACACAAAAATGACTGTTTAGCAAAAAACAATTAAAATATATCTGTACTATATACATGTATCTATAAGGTAAAACATCACAAGTGTTGTGTATAAAATAATCATTAAATTGTTACAACTATTGTCTTTTTGCATTTGTGTAGTTTTTAACAAAAGGGCCATTGCTAAAATAAGAGTCTATACAAAATGCATTTTTGTCTCTTTCATCCATTGATACTAAAACAAGAAAAAACTTTACTTTAAGTATAGGTCAACTTGGCTTCATTGTCAATATAAAGATCATTTTTTTAATATTTCTTCTTTTATTAAACTCAAATTTTTATTTTTCTTTAAGGCCCATTGACACTGTAAAGGTCATATGTTGACTTTCCAGCATTACTGGTTGCCTGCCCCAGAAGAAAAAAGGCATTGGTGCCTTTTTGTGCATTATATCAGGCACCAAAGTAGAACCAAATAATGCTAGCAAGTTAGCTGGATAACTGTCTCACATTAAAGAATCCAAAAACCCTGGCAGGATTCAAACCCAAGGTGTTAATGGGCAAGTGATAGGCTGTCAGATTAAATAATGATTAAACAATGGTTAAAGAAACTTTTACCAATAGATAAAAAAATAATGCTTGATCTCGCATCTTAATGAATAAATAATGATAAAAAGATAGAAATCTAATACTGTACCACTGGTGAAAAAATACATAAAATTATTGACTGATTTGATACACACATATGCCAAAAAATGATGTGTAAACTAAATAACATTAATGCACCACAGATATCAAATATTAATACACAAAAATTGCACAAAGAAATCATATGTAACAGATTAATAAACAATGTAAAACACTAGGTAGAAACTAAAACACGTCAAATTATTTAAACAAAATTTCTAGCAGAGTAAGACAACAAAATTGTACGTATAACTTAAGAGTATGCACCAAACATGTTTTAAAACTTATGATAAGTTTAATAAAAAAATTTTTACAACTAAATACCTTATGCATACTTCTTCTGTACAATAAAATTAAGTTTAGTGCTACTTGGCATAAAATGACTTAAATAACTTGACACATATGAGCCGCGCCACGACAAAACCAACGTAATGGTTTTGCGACCAGCATGGATCCAGCCCAGCCTGCGCATCAGCGCGTTCTGATCAGGATCCATGCTGTTCGCTTACAAACCCTATTACAAGTAGAGGAACTGATAGCAAACAGCATGGATCCTGATCAGACTGCGCAGGTGGGCAGGCTGGTCTGGATCCATGCTGGTCGCCAACGCACTATGTTGGTTTTGTCATGATGCGGCTCATATGTTTAACTACATTGGCTATTGGCACCAGTCAAATTTTATGCACCACTTTTTCATTGCACTTAGTTACATTTTAGTGAACAAAATAATGAAAATACTAATTCTTTCAATCAATGTGTTGAACAATCTATGAAAAATGTATTAGACAGTTTTTTCAGAGATCAAAAATAAAATAAAAATCACAAAAGTTCTTTGTCATGATAGCTCGAGTATAATAGTAACCATAATCAATGAAGACTAGAATCTTACTGTAAACTGTGGGTACTTTTTTCAACCTGAATATAGAACAGTTTAGACCATAAACATTTGATATAGATGTGTCATCACTGTTTGCTAATCTGTCAGTACATATCTTTAAAATCTTCCCTAAAATTGATGAATGGTTTTGTCCAGATTGAAAGATGGGCAAGTCCATTTAAGATTTTTAGTGTGGTATGGGTTAATGATAACTTAAATTAAATCTAGGTTAACAATTTTTATTTGAACAGACTTCATGCATCTGCACAAAATTTGAACTTAAATAGAAAAAAAAAATACTTCTTTAATGACTGTAACTTGAAAAATAAGCAAGGACTGGCCAGGAAAAACCGTAGTAAAATTATTAAATAAGCAAATAATGTTGGCAAAAATGTTAATTTCCATCTTAACTTTACTGAAACAGAAATCAATGGTAAAGAACTATTCTCTGATAAAACTGTATAGACTTTTTTTTATAGCAATTTCGCCTTCTACAGCAAACATGTAGAAACAACATTTATTAAGGCATAAACACAGTATGGCATTGTTAATCGACAAAAATATACTCAATTTTTTTCAACTACCATAATACTTGTACATGTTTCAAAAACAATTTTTGTCACATTCTTCGCTTCAGTCAAATTCTTTCAGTGATACAAAATCTTTAAGCTGTCGTGGCATCTTTAAATCGTGGAGTTTCTGTATTGGCGATGTGCCAAGTTGGTACCGTATTTTGACACGACATAACTGTTGCAATGACGGTGGGTTTCGAGACATTGTTATTAGTCTATCACAGAATTCTTTATGTTTCAACAACTCTTTTGGAATGTCACCAGTTTTCTATAAATAAAACAATAATACATTATCTCACTCATCTTTTTCTAATTGATATTTAAGTCATAACTACATTATTAAATTCTCAAAGCTAATTTTCAGTTGTACTTTGAGACCTCGAAACATTCTGAACCATTCTTCCCAGCATCCTCTTAAGCAGGATGTGTCATATTGGTAGAACCACTGACAGTCTGGTAGGTAACTACATACTTTTCTTAGTTATTATTTTCATTTTTATACAGAATTTATTTTAGATATTCGGTTGGAATTGATATAAGCTTAAAGAAGCACCCCTAAATCTGTTTCTGGATCAAGCCAGGGCTAAGCAATGAGTAAGTAGTTTGGACCTCAAGGAAACAACGGCTTGCTCCTGACAGGGTTTGAACCCATGTGGCCAGTAATCTTTAGACCACTAGTCTGGCCTGTTGACTTGGTCATGGTGTCACTACTAGTATCCTATTTGGAATTAAACCAACAGAGATAATCTTCAGGTGCTTTCAAATCTATAATAAATTATCTGATAATATAACTCCTAGCTTATATAAATGCTTATCTTTAATGCCTATATTTTCCCTCATGACAAAATTTAAATTTTTGTTTCTATTATAATGAAAATTTCTATTTACTTAATTCAAAACAACTTTTTGAGTGCCTAAAAATAGAACAATCTTACCTAAAATGTTCAAGTGGATATTAATAATATCGTGTGGTTCCATATATAAACTTTTTGGCCTTTTTTGACCATTAAGAATTTACACATTATGCCCATTATGCCATACCCGAAGTACAGTAACTTATTAGATTGTCTTAACAGCCAACTTTCCGTTATATACCTAAATTTTGCACTATTAAAAGCAGAACAAGATATAGAAAATAGACAAACCAGATTTTTGAATGAAAGTTGTGCCCCAGCTGCCACCAGATAACGTATCACATCTATCTGACCACTTGATGCTGCCAAGTGCATTGGGGTCACACCCCAGTTGTCTGATATATTCACATCTGCTCCATTCTGTTCATGCAGAGAAAAATGAAATGATGAATTATTAGCAAGATAGATAAAAGGGTCATCATGGTAGGGCTGTCGTTGATAGAAAATTTTGTATCAATATATCCAGAGACAAATATTGATGATATACATGTTTTGATATATCCACTTTGACAGTAGATGCAATGAAAAACATTTAAATATGTGTTATAAATTGGGATCATGGTGTTATGCATGTTTGTATAAGATATTACAAATACTACAAACTAAAAGAAAGTTTGTTTTTTCTGTTATTTTTGTCACTGACATATGAAAATGGAGTTTAAAGTTCAAGTTAGCCAAGAAAACTGGAAAAAAGTGACTTCTTTTATTACTCAAAATAGAGAGGTATAATCACTAACAGAAATTAGGTGCTCCTCCGTGCATTATTTCAGTAGTAGTAAATCAAATTTATATATAAAAATATTATCATATGATACCTTTATCAAAATTAAGGCACATTCAGGATACAAGCTAACTACAGCATGTAGAGGTGTCCCGCCATGTCGGCATTTTGTGTTGACCGAGGCACCAAACTTAATCAGCTCTTCTACACACAACACATGTCCTTTATAAGCTGCCCAGTAGAGAGGAGTTTTACCATAATAATCTTTCCTGTCTATATTCACTGTTCCTGTAAATCGTTCAAATTCTAAAGTACTTGATTCATCATTTAAAACAAAATTCATTTGGCGCTAAAAAAGTATCAAAAAATAATTTCAAAAGCACAGCAAAGTGAATAAGAGTGGAAACAAGATAAAGTGTTAAACAGTTGCAAGTGTCTCACAGTAAAATAAAGCATCAATTTATTCTACAAATATAGGCTTAAGTTATGACCTTGAAATCTCCAAGACATTATTCAAAGTTTCAAGTGAAACCATCTGTGAAAAGGAATTCATAAAACCTAGACAAAATGTAACAATGTTGCTTAAGCTTAAATGGGTAGAATAGCCCCACTTTTTATCAAACAGTCATGTTATAAATTAAGTTCGGTGATTCAGAATTTGTTTTCAGCACTTAAATTTACTCCAGCATTGAGCAATGATGCTGATCTTGAATAAGAATTATTAATAACAAGAGACATAATTTTAAAGTAAAAAAAAAACAACTAAAAAGTATTAAAAACCCACATAAATTTTGTTATTTAAATTTTGATACTTTCATAATTTATTTTATGAATTGCTTAACATAGTACAAATGTTTAACTTTTTACATGCCACAAGAAAGAAGTTGTAGTAGTTGAATTTTTTACAGCCAATTTATTATATGATTTTTATTTTTCTCAAAATCTTTTAAGTTCTCAGGTGTCCTTCTAAATGTCTTTCATACACCAATAAAGCTGAGCCATCTTATGCTTAGAACTGTTGCATTTCGGAATATAGTGCAGTTCAAGTGATTCATTGTTTTGTATGGAAGTGAAAACACCTCTTTGTTTACCTTTTGTTATTTTTACGACAAATTATTTCACAATCAGCCCTACTAACGTCAGATTGTCAAATACATGTATGCTCAAAATCAGTATTTTTAAAGTAGTATTAAACACATGTTTGCCTTCTCTAAAGAACAGAAAAGGTTAATGTGCCTTTAAGCCCCTCATAAGAAAAGATAATTGCACTAAACTTACCAGTTTTGTGAATGATTTCATGGATGCGCCTGATGTTGCCATGGCTAGCAGCATAATGTAGATCAGTCCAGTTATGATTGTAACTTGGAGGCGGGACCTTATAACAGTAGAAGTAGCTAGCAGGCTTATCGTCTCTCGGCAGCACACTAGATCCGTTATATTCACACCACATCAAGCTGCTAGCTTTTACACCCATATTCTCTCATTCTGCTCATTAGGTTGGTATCCAAACAGTTCTGAGTTGTAGAAGTTGAATATTTATATTATACATGTAGATCTTTCAATGTCTTAAAACAATACTAGAAGGAAAAAATTAACATTGTAATCATCAGGCCTCCAAGCTTTTTTTCACTGGCAGGGGAAATAATCGTATGATCGATCCAATGTACTCAGTTCCTTTTGTGACTTGTCAGACAATTAGTTATCGCCCATGCTATCAGTCAGAGCATACAAAACAGAGTCTTTTAAAATTGCGAGAAGCCTATTAAATTCATCAAACACAATCTGTCAGAAGGACAAAAAAATGTCTTAAGTTGATCAAAAAGAAATTCAGTCGAATTAATACGAGTAGAAATCATCAATTGATCAGTAGAGATAAAAAATAATCAATGGCTTATATGCCTATCTGGAGTTGTCCACTACAGTGTACTATCAACATAAAAATTCATTTCTTGAAAGGTTCTTTAAAACTTTACACCAAAAGAAAGCATAATATTCCCTTTTAAATCATGTAAAATTGTTAATACATTCAAGAGTGACCTACACATGTATACATGCATGTAAAATACACTCTAAGTGAGGTATTCTCTTAATCGGTAATATTCATAACTTGTGATCATAAAATAGTCATGAATTGTTTTTTCTTTGTTTGATATGCAACATACATAGATCCATTTGACATAAACAAATCATGTATCAAAAAAAAGATGACTGTATAGAAATTATGAAGCTATTTTTCTATAATGAAAAGGTGACCTATGGGAGACTCAAAGGCCGGGTCCACAAAGTGGGCCTGGGCTTTGGCTTGCCCGGCTATAGGCTACAAATTATATGGGGAAGTCAAAGGCAGGGAATGCGAAGCGGGCCCATGCTTTGCCTTGCCTGGCTACAGACTTCACATGTATATTTAAGAGGAAATCAAATAAAAAAAAAACATTAAAAAATATATAGAATTCTATACCTATCAATTAAATTTTCAGTATCAGTTCTACTTGTGCGCTGCCATATTCAATGTATCTCAATGATAATAAGCAGGGTATTCCTGTAAGAAACAATCGCAACTTTTCGGATAAATAATAAACGTCAAGTGCTCCGAATGAAAACAGAAGCGATGCATGAAATACCGAATGACACCTTTACAACAGAAAAAGGAATGATTTTTTAAACCGACTTATTTATTTCTAATTCTATACATATCGGTGAAATTTTTAGTGTCATATCTAGTTGGGCACCACCATTTTTAATGTAATTCTATGATTATTGCCAGGGTATTTCGATAAAGAAACAAGGTGGGCGGGCGAGCAAAATTGGATTTTTTAGTCGCCCGAATTTAATATTTACTCTCCAGGGCGATCAGGCGAGTGCTAATTTCGAAGACTGTATCAGTGTATGGGCAATATCCACTTTTTGAAGTGAGCTTCTGACTCAGAACAAAATGCCTAAGAATCTAGCTTCAGAGCGTCAAAATATGTACTTATTTCTATTGTGGCAGATTTTGATTATTTCTAAAACAATTTTATTTATCCTTTATTCATTAAAGTAATTTCTCTCTAAATTTCTTCTGTTTACGGTATAGCATTTCAGATTCACTTAAATCCATGACTTTTGAAGTGTAAAATTGGTCCTCTTAAATTTTTGGTCATTTCAAGATTAATGATTTAATGCTACGCTTTTATGGTTTTTCTTATTTATTGATAATGTTTTCTTAAGTAATTGTTTAATTTGAAACTACCCCTATTTCCTTCATTATCTAGCATGAGATTTTTAGTGAGTTCACTTTTTGTCAGACTATGCAGTGTTCGAAATTAGCAGTAGTCCGATAGCCCCTGACTACTAAATTTCTCCTCGGGCTACCAACTTTTCACAGTAACAAGCCCGACCAGGCTACTGTATTTTCAGAGGCAATATAAACAACTGTTTAGAACAAGTTAATCGTGCTAGTGAAATGTTTTTTGGGCTAGTGAATATTCCAATCTGGTAGTCCAACCAGCCTAGTCGATTCAAATCCTAATTTCTTACACTGCTATGTAAGAAAGATTTTGACCTTCTCAATTGCTTTTGCCTCAAGGACGCCAAGGTAGCTTTTACCTAGTCAACGAGATAAGCCAAAATTTTTACCAATGTAGGGTTATTGTTTTGTTTCAATTTTGAATAAGTGATCTATTTTTTATTATATTTTCTCAGGAGTTTTTTTTTGATTTAGTTAAATAAGAAACTTAAATAACTTAACTTTGCTTTCCTATTAAACTCTGTAAATCATGACTTAAACTTATAGATGGTAGTAGATTTTGAAATAAACTAGAATCACTATATTTGAGAAATGTAATTTAATAAAAGTCATATAAATTGTAAATGATCTTTGTTGGAATTGAAACCTTACGAGTTTATAATTAACCTGGGTTTGCAAGGTTAGTAAACCTGCTACACTATTATCATGGCTGTGTTAAGCCCTCCCTAGGTCAAGATCTGTAAAGACTGTCAGATGTCATACAAATTTATCATAACAAATTATGTTAGAACTTAGACAAAATGATATGTGTGAATTAAAACAAAGTATCAAATGTTGTTATCAAAATAAACATACCTTAAACTTGTCACAGATTTATAGAGATAAACAATGTTATTATTATTATTTTTACTTTTAGATAAATATTTTTTTTTCTGTCAAAAACCGGAAGTGAAATAATTACTGTGACACCGGCGGAAATAAGCAAATACAGCGGGCAGATTAAATATTTTTGTTTTTTATTTCGATAACCTCGCTGTCTTTATTGGAAATGTTTGAAATCCCAGACGAAGATGATTTCTGGAATGTACGTTTTGATAGAAAAAAAGCAATTTCCTTAAAATTGTTAAGTCACGCGATCGGCCGTATAATTCGCCCCATTTATGATAATTCGCCCCTTAAAGACTCGACCCACTTTAATGACGATTCGCCCAAACTTATATTAAACATTTTTAATTCATTACGATTGAGCGATATTTATGCTTAATTGCTTTTGGTAATTATTGCTTTTATCTTGATATAAATGTTTGATTTTGTTTAAGTTTAATCTAAAAAATAAATTATCAGGTTGAATGATTTGACCTTTACAAAAGATCTTTTCATTAGTCTAAATTTATTTATGCATCATATTGAAATAACAATTTTTCATTGGTAGTTTATATCATTGGCGGTAAAGTACTTTCTTTCTTTTCTCCTTGACATAATTTGTCATTCTGTATTAAGTTGACCATTTTGATCACCTGTTTGTTAAAATTGAAATTTAGGCAATTTAACAATACATCAATATTGTCTCTATCGATGACACCTCTAACTGTTTATGAAAATAATTTAGAACTTTATGCTGGTTAAAGTTTATTAGTACTTGTTTACAAAATAAAGTTGGTCGCAAGATCTTAGGAAATATCTTGCTATATGATATTAAAAAATAATATTCATTGGCAGGTTTAATGCCATGAAGCACACATTCTGTTTGTATCTCTGTTCTTAATGACCCTGCATTTTATTTGATTGAAATAGTTATGTATTGTTTTGCATGAAGAAATTTTGCATAATTATTCAACTACATTTATGCGCAGAGCTCATATATACTTAAATCAAGAGGAAGCTATCACGTCATACACTTTTCTACATCTTCAAAAAATTTAATTAGATTTTCTGAGACCTTAAATGTTCTAAAATTTATTGCTATCTATGCCGCCATGTTGTCTTGAATTTGTGACCAGAATCAAAAGTAACTAAAGAGTATAGTTGATAAAAAAAAGATTTAGAGTAGGATGATGTAAATTAATATCTTGGTAATGGATGAAAATGTAAATTTATGTATTTGGTTTAAATATAACATGATGGCGGAAATCAAAGTTCTACTTTCACCTTTTGGTTAGGGCAGGATAAGTGTTAATGATTGGATGAATTTAAATATTCATTATCACATTTTTACCAGTTTCTCAATATTTTTTATTTTTTGTTACAAGGATGAGTTGGAAGACAACCTTTTGTCAAAGACTAGTTCCTTCACTGATAAAGAAAACAGACCGCAGTTGAGGGTACCAAATTCTACATGCACAGGAAACCCTGCAAAAAGATTGTGTATGAAGTTTTTCTTGATAAAATGTTTAGTTATAATTTACAATAATTTATTATGTTGTATATATATTACTAAAATACCATATATTTTAATTTGTGTTGATATATATACTTGAATAGAAATTGGAAACATTGATACAAAGTGCCCTGCAAGAAATCTCATATTCTTAAAATTTAATTTTCTTCTATAGGTTTAAGTCATCAAGTTTTTTAGCAGATTTTCATGCCAAACATAATGGCTATACCCACATTTGAAAGACTTTTTTTTAGAGCTGTCATTGATTCAGTGCAAAGCATATCAACAATATATCGATATCAAGTGACTAAAATCAACGATACACCGATATATCGATAATATCCTATACTCACTTGTCTGTCATTCACTTTCATACCTGTTTCAATGATTTCAGTCAAAAACATGTTCTGTACAGTGTCTTGTCCACTGCATGATTTTTTCCAAACAATATTTTTTGCTATGAAATAATTCCACTATATAACAAAAGCATAACATTAGATATAAATAACAGTTTCTGCATATATTTTGGGTGAATTGTATAATTTCTAGATATTTAATTTATAAGTCAAAAGTATCGATTTTTTAAAATGTGTATCGATTATTGATCAACAAAAAAATATCAACGATACATCGATATTGTTGATATCGATGACAGCTCTACTTTTTTTCTTTGAATGTTTTTGAAAATTGGAAAATGAATAGGTTTAGTTTTATTAAGTGAATATCACATAATTTTAAATTTATGTTTTTGTATTAGTGTATTTGTAGAAACAAGATTATTCTATGGTTTTTTATACAGGTACAGATTTCTCAAGAGATGTAGCATTACCAGTTCAAGCAGAATTGAACAAAGAATTACCTCAGTTTAGAGGTGTTAGAAGTGCCAACAATCATAATGAAAGTGTTTTAATGAACAAAAGCATACCAAAAAAATTAGCACAACAAAGCAACATCACTGTAGTGAACACTGGCACACCAAATGTACCATCATTGTGCAATAACCCCACTGTAGTGAACAATGACAGGACAAATGTATCAGTACATCATGCACAACAGAGAAACAAAACAGAGACATTTACTGATGCTCCATTCCATATACCATTTCCTAAAGAAACATCCCTGTCACAAGCTGACAGTATTGAACATTATGAAAGATCAAATATCTGTAGGACTGCCATAGGCATGGATCAGTCAATCGCACCACCACCAGGCTCTGACAAAAATAACAGTGGTATATGCAGTGATATAAGTGAAAGAAAAATAACAGAGAGAAATAGTTTTCCATCCAGTAACAATAAAACACATACAATTAAAGAGCCGCAAAACATTCAAAGTGACAATAATAATGTATCCAGGACTACCAGAAGAAGGTCAAATGAGAATGAGGCTGGAGATCATGTGACACCTCAGAGGAAAAGGAAATTTCCTGGTCCTGCTGGCCTCTTGCCAAAACTGGTATGACGATTTTTTTTTATAAAATTTGTTTTAATGCATAAAAAATAATTTCTCTGTCATATTGTTTTAGAAAACATATGTTTTAACTTTTAGGTGTTGATAATATGGCTTTTTAAATGGCAAAAACAAATGTTGAAAGATAAGATATGATTTATACTACTGTACTAGAGTAAAACTTTGAAAAAAATGCAGCTTTTTTGTCCCATAGGTTTTTGAAGTTTTAAGCAGAATTTTTTTGGTAAAAGATGCTTTATTTGTAAAGAAATTGTAGGAATTAGTTTTAAATCTTTTGTCTTGATTGTAGGGTCCAGGTAGAAACTTAGACATGATGTCTCCTGTATCATTGATAACCACCACACCTGTAACCAACAAATCACCCAAGGTAAATATACTTGACATATTCTGAATTTTCAGTTTTTTCCGTAATGATGAATTTAAGTCTGTTTAATGGGACTCTACTGAGGTTTTTTGACATGACAGGACTGGAAATAATTTTTTCGAGGTTAATGTACCATTTGAAGTAGATGTAGAATAATATCTTGTGTGCATAATTTCAGATCATTCTGTAGATCCATTTTTCTAGAATAATTGCTCTGTGAAAAAAATGAACCATTTCCAAAACTGAATAGCTTGGCAATGCTTTTCACTCATACTGGGCTAAGAATAGCACAAAAATACAATTTTCTGTTTATTTCGGAGTATATTTCTACATATATCTATATATTTTACATACATTTCAGTTTTAAGTGCCCCAACTGACCTATGTAAGAAACTAAAATTTAATGTTTTGAGGCTTTTGGAGCTCAGTGAAGTTCCTGTAAGCCCTACATTCTGCAAGGTACTTTCAAGGCATATGAGCTGTGTCATGACAAAACAAACATAATGGGTTTGCGACCAGCATGGATCCAGACCAGCCTGCGCATCCGTGCAGTCTGATCAGGATCAATGCTGTTGGCTTACCAACCGTATTACAAGTAGAGAAACTGATAGCGAACAGCATGGATCCTGATCAGACTGCGCGAATGCGCAGGCTGGTCTGGATCTATGCTGGTTGCAAACGCACTATGTTGGTTTTGTCATGACGCGGCTCAATTATCATTTTACGTGTGTACTCTCACAGTCTTGTGGTTTACAGGGTTATTACTGTTGAATGAATTCTACTGAAAACTTACAGATGTTTTACAGTTCAGGATTATGAGTTACACATTTCATTACAGGATGATAGTACAATACTGTGCTCCCAGCAAACAGATGATATATTTAATGAGTTACCATGGCAACGTCTGCTCACTGATCTAGAAGATGATGGTCAGAAACTTCTCAAGAAATACTCTATTTCTTCCACGCTACTTAAGGTAAGTGGGTTACATTGAACTCATCAAGGGATAGGTTAACAACTTAACATGTATGTGTGAATCCCATTAAGATTGAATTTTCTTGTATGTTTCTACTACTGAATTAGGTGTGGTCTTAATCTTGCATGGTTATATGTAAGTTAAGATCTCTGTCATCACTGTAGCATCTGTTACAACTTGCACTTGCACGACGATGTGTGAGTTTAAGTTTTTGAGGTGCTTTGAATCTTTCATATGGCTTAATAAATAGAAAATATGATAAGTAAGTTAGTGACTGAAGAATCACTTGGCCAGAAAATTTTAGATCCACCCACACCCCAACTTCCTGTTTGCCATCAAATGACAACTACTAGTAAACACAAAACAATGAAATAATATGTTTAATTTTCAGTCTGGCAAAAAGCAATTGGTACAGGGTAAAGCAGCACTTATATTTGGTATAATTGAGTCAATAGAAAGTCATGGTTCCGAGGCCAGTGTTACTATTAGGGACAGATCAGGTTTGTAAATATATATGTTTACTTACAGTGTTTTTTGGAACATGGCCACTTGTGTGACATTTTGTGACATTTTGCTTAAAATAAGGAAAATATAATTATAATGATTAGGGCTGCAACGATACACCAAATGTTCGATTCGATTCGATTTCGATTTTAGACACTCCGATTCGATTTTTTTCGATTCGATACATTTCTGATTACTAATTTATCTTTGGTATATAATTCTGCTTGTCTGCCCAAAAATTGAGTGGCCTTCAACCTAGTGCTTTGCTTTTCTGTTGTTATATAACTATTATATAAACTTATTTGACTTAATAATTGTGTTTATGAGAATAAAAAGCTCTTATCTACTTAGAAATAATTTTAATCAGGCAAATAATTATTCATCTCAGTTACATGACTATCACAGATACCTTCTGCTGACTAGGAATTTAACAAAGTATGTAAATTGTAAAGTAAATAATAATGAACAAAGTTTCACAAGGTTGTCAGAACTGATATTCAGATATTCTGTTTATAATTAAAATAATATGTAAAATGAATAATCAATCCTAATGTCAGTGTTGTCACACAATATTTCTTAGTCTAGTAAACAATAGAGAAAAAATGAAATTCATGAAATTATCACTTTTTTCACACTTGACTAAAGAAATAATAATCAATCCCAATGTCAAATATGCCCACTTACTGTAGTACTAATCAAACTTATTTCGGGAAGGGCAGGACACGGATAAAGCTGACCAAACAAGTCCACATCGTGTTTTCGTTTCATATTTTGCATTAAATTAGACGTACTGTCGGACTTTGGATATGACACGTCCTTAAAGCATATTTTGCAAGTAGCTTTATCCGTGTCCAGGCCTTCCCGAAACCCAAAGTGTTCCCAAACCTTTGATTTTAATTTTTTAGGAGGATTTTTTAATTTTATTTTATCAACATTGATGTTGGTAGCCATTTTGACTTGTTTGCCGAAAAATAAAACATTTCGCGCCCACTGATTGGATGACCGAGTTTTAACTGGCCAATCGTATGTAACGTGATAAAGCGCGAAGGGAAAGACTAAAACTCTCACTTTTTTCCATGCTTATTTTTGGGTGGGGAATCGAATCGAAAATGTTACAGTTGATATCGGGAATCGAATCGGCGCTCATAAAACCGGTTTTCGATGCATCGAAAGGTATCGTTGCACCTCTAATAATGATAGATAGGTTTGCAAAGCTGGGTCTAATATTCTTATCTGCAAAACGTGGAACAGGTAGGTTTGTTAAAAACCACGACTTTCATTTCCATGATATACTGAAATATTGATGTTATTTATGATGAAGGTTTAATAGGACTGAAACCACATAGAGAAAAAATAACCTTAACCAGCTCTGGTGTTGATGTGTTGTATTTTTCCATTTTCCTCTTATTTTATTTTATATCGTGTCAGAGAATCCAGAAGAAGGATGCTAGATACTTTTTTCTTGCATATCAGACAGGATCTTCTGCTAGATAAACCGTCTTACACCCCTAGCTTAGGACAAGTAGTATGCTTGAAATGACATTATTCCTGTGCATGTTCTATGAATTAATTGCGCTCTAAGGGTGAATGAAGTTGTAAATTCAAGAAAAAGTGCTTAATGAAAATATTAGTTTTCCAAAATATGATTTATATGTAATGTGCAAAAAAAAAGAATGAAACACCAGCAGTTGTTACAGATTGGGTTTTTAAGAGAAACTTGGTAGTCTTGTTTCCACGGTAAACTGTTACCCTCAAGCTAGATATTTCTGTTTGTACTGATAGCTAGTGTAAGATTCTTACATTTTGATGTGAATATGGAAATATGCTTAAAAACCTGCTGTATATAGTTAATGATATTATAATATAAACATTGTATGTAACAGGAAGAATGCAGGGCACAATACATCATGATTTATTGAAGGACCACGAGGCAGACTTGCAGGCTGGAACTGTCCTTGTTCTTAAACAGGTAATGTTGATACAAAATTATCATTAATGTAAATGAAGAACAACTTACAAAGCTAGCAATGACATTCAGTTTTGGCATGTAATATTTGATATTAAAATATAGACTGTACACTATAGGATGCTCTTATTTGGCTTTATGATACAAATCTATAGTTGAGTTAAAAACAAAATTAGATACAATTCAAATAAAAAGTTTGACTATATGATATATCAGTTTGACTATTGGTATATTCTGATATAATTATCAGATAGTTTGACTAATTCATATATCAGACAACTTTTCGTACATTTTTTTTCTCATCGTCTTTTTCTCTTTTCAGGTCAGCATAATAAGCCTATCAAACAGAAATCACTATTTAAACATAACACCTAGTAATGTAGTGATGTTATATCGAGGGGGTGAAGGGTCATTGAGGTCACTCAAGTTTCATGGTAGTGAGGACTCCCTACAGTCTGTGTTATCAGCCCTGGAGAAAAAAGCAGCCTCTCAACATAGTAGTCTTAATACCAGTCTTAATATGACACCATCTAGTCATTCAGGTAAATCAGTACTTAATATGAAACCATCTAGTCATACAGGTAAAACAGCATCTTTATATAAATTCTAGAGGCCTCTGTGGCCCATTTGTTAAGGTTGTTGACTTCAAATATTTATGAAACGGTATTGTTTGTCTGTAGTAAATGGTGTAAAAGAAATGTAAGCCAACTTGAGCTAGATTTTAACAGTCCTTTTGTATTTAAATGATCTTAACATGGTGTTACATAAATATACGTATGTGTTTTGTTATTAGAGTGGCATTTATACAAATGTTTTTGACGTTTACACTACACTAAATGAGTGATCAGCTGTAATTTGGATGCCAATTTTCAACTTTTTCTAGTCAGCACTTGCTTGTCCAGTTACATGTATATCATGTCCAAAGTAGCAAAGTTAAAATTCTGGTGTTAATTTCATTAAGATTTACTATCATTTTAACTTGCAGGAAGTAGAAGATACAGTACAGATCCTGGTACCCCTCAACAGTTTGGTGCATCACCACTGTCAGGGCTAGGTACCAACACTCCTCAGAGATTTGTTACGTCTCCGATAACACCTGTAACTAACCAGAGGATATTTAACCCACATTCACCTGTAACAGGAGGGTCACCCGCTACTGCTACACCTTCAACTTCAGGTGTTAGAAATGTTTCTGTTGTGAACAGAGATATGAACCAAAGGGGAAATAATTTTACACCAAATTTTAGAAACACCAACTTACAAAGTGGAATGAATACACCTTGTGGTTCTGTGTCAGAAAATACCTATATCAGTACACCAAATACAAACTTCAAAGTGATACCTGTCCAAGACAATGTAAAATTATCAAATCTCAGCTCAAATAATGTCTCATCAAACAATAACCATACAGTATTAAACAATGTAGGGAACACAAGCATTAGGCCAGGACAACCCTGTAACAATGTTCAAAATGTTTCAGTGAAAAACTTTCAAAATCAAAATCCCTCGGCTAATCCTGTATTAAATACACCAAATTCAGTTGGAAAGTCAAAGTGGAAATTTAAATCTCCCCCTACTAGAAATAGTAGTCTTCCATCTTCACCTGACATTAATACCACCATCCCTGGAAAGATTCCAACCAATGCTGTATCTAGTAAAATTCCTACTGTGAATGCAATAAACACAAATGTTACGCCTAATACTGGAGCTATAAAAAGTGCAGAAGGACAGGGCACCAACCAGCATCAAACTATTGGTATAAAAACTACAGGCAGTGTTGGAGGAAATAAATCAGTTAATGGGGGAACCTCGTCTTGGTCTTTCAAAACAGCTAATGTTTTACACACACCTGGACAGACGGACAAACCTGTGACACATGTGAGTGATGAAAATCTATGGGAAGATGGTATGTATTAACAGTGTTTAGTTTTAATTTGGTACATTGCTTCAGTTAACAGACCAGTCATAAATATATATTAGAAACTCATCATTGATCAAAAGTTGTATTACAATTTCAAATTTATCTACTATATGAAGAATAGTGAGGCTGTCTTAGTCATCTGTGTGTCCGAGTCAGAGTAACAAACTCTTGTTTTTCCATCAATCACTATAAACGGTTGAAGTTGTTTTTTTCCCCTAATTTACTAAATTTAGTGAAATTGGTCCTTTTCAAAAAAAAAAAAAAGGGTTTGAAAAGAAATATTGAGATAACAGATAGTTAAATTATATATTACTAATAGAGATTACATGATCTTTAGTGTTCATACATTATTTATATTACATGTATACTTATATCAAGAGATGTAATAAATCATTTGATTGGTTCATTTTCAGATATGGATGATGACATTTTATCACAATTGTCAGAAGACTTTACTTGACATACAAGAAAATATGGAGACATAAATAAAGATGATAAAGATTCAATCATATAGCATGCATAAGATTAGATATATAAGGGAGATAATTCTGCTGCAAGATTGTATTATACCAGGGAATTTGGATTATTTCATGAGAGGGAGCTCTCCAAGTTGGCTAACAGAAGATTGGATGTTCTACTTTTGTCCTGAAATAATGCACAAAGGGACACTGTGAACTTTCCTCCATTAAAAAAGGCTTAATAGGTGCCATATAATCTAAACAATGTTTGATATATTGAATTCAAAAAGAGAAATTATTTACAAACGACATTGGAGGAAAAGGATAATGTATTGGCTTAATTAGTGATGAAAACAATGTATGAATCATTTACAACTACAGCACCATAATGGATTTATTCAGTATTTTCCTGTACTAATTCTACATACACGTGAACAAAAGTTTCTGTGTAATTATTATCTAATAGATAATGGAAATAATTTAACTCAGATGTTGAAATGTTTGTCCTTTATGATAAACATTTATTTTTAAATTCTGTGATTTCTGTTATTATATCTGAAGTTATTGACTGTCTTGCTTAATAACTCTTTAGATGCAGCAACCAGTAAAATTTTTATAGTGTTTTTGTATTAAACATGATTAATGGTTCACAATTCGTGTGATGGAAGGAGTATTAAAATGCTTATTTCAAAGATACATGGATAGACATAAAGCCTACATGCCTGGGAAAAGAGGTAATGCAAGACAGATAACATGCATTAAATGAGCATGGCTGATTTGAAAGTTGTCTTATATTAGAGCTATAACACTACTGATTGGTGACATTTTGATCAGTACCAATTTACACTGTGCCGACTTAAACTGTATAATTTATTCATTTATAAATCTCCATTGACAAATATTGTCAAGTGCACACATTGCTACTAAATATCTCTCATACAGTTGTCTTCTATGGTCATTAATAGATTTTTTTATCATGTGTAAATTAAATTTGTTAGTTCATTTCTGTAGACTATACATGGTTCAAACAATTAATTTATATGCTTGAAATACATGTATTACATAACTTAAAATATGCTTCATTTAGTTTTTATATAAAACTTCATCAAGGCTGAAATTAGGCTTTATCACACCCCATGCCGCTATTGCAACTTAGTAAAAAAGGTATTGAATGGCCCTGCATATTTTGACATGTCATTTGTCTTATACAAACATAGTGTAAAGAGGTTCTAAATGTTGGCATTACACTTTCGACATGTCAATGAAAATTTTTTCTTTGCATATTCTACAGTCTTTATTTTGGGTATGTGATAAATTGAATGTTATATTTGTATACCTTCAGTATAGTCTGGAGTTCCTTCCCCTTTCGCTACGCAAAGATAATACTTGTTAGATGCCGGGAACCAGAATAACCTTCAGTACTGGAATTTATTGAACAAGTTGAATAGAAACATATTTTGCTCGCAAGAGGCTCGCATAAAATAATTATTTAACTTGTTCAATAAATTAAGTATTGAACCTAGGCTACACTCATTCAATATCAGCTATAACTTGCATGTTTTTTTTATATTTTCCGGTGATAATTCACTAGTCAACCTTAAAAGAAAATAGTTATAATATCTCATGTCGCATGATTATGAATGAAATGTTTGTATTATGCTAATGAGAAGAAATAGATCATTGATTAAGATATTTTCAAAATATGCTTATTTTGCATTTGTTAATATGAAATTTTGAGTTATGAAAAAAAAAAAAAATATATACAAAATAAATGTCTTACTATGTGATTTTATGGTTTCTTTCATAATGGAAACTTGGCATGTAGTCATTGGATGGTTTTCTCAAAGTCTGTTCATATATTCTTGCATATCAGACTCTTCAGGTGTTTCCGTTAATTTTACTCATGCCGGAAATTTCATCTGGCATGGGGGGCGCCAGATGAGGTGCATGCTTTAGAATTGTGGCATTTTATGTGTGAACTGCTTTAAAATGACATCATTTCAGGGTATTTAAATTTTAAAAATTCCTTGAAAAATTGTTTTATCGAGGTAAAGAATTAAAGATAAGATAGGATATGGTAGAATATGCAAGAAAAAAAATCTGACGTGGTTCGTTTTGGATCTGAATATCTGCCGGTCGGCAAGCCTTGCTACTACCAAATGGGCAGTCCTTCTGGGGAAAGATATTCTGATACAAACTGCAACATATAGCAGATGTTATTAATTCACCTTTTTCTTGTCTGATCAATAATTTAATCTGGTTGTTTCTCTTATTTTTCAATTGTGTATGATCACACCTTAACACAGTACATCTTCCTACAGCACAAACTATGGAGACGATATAGTGCTGTAACGCACACAGACCTCTTGTTTCATCAAAATAACAAAAACAGCTGATGATTTTCTGTCTTTATTTTTTTTTAAATTTCCAACAATTGTTTAGCACAATTTTAGTCACATACATAAATAAAACCAACAGAATATAATCCAAGGCAATAATGAAACATCTTGTTTATAGATCTAATAATACACAATGTTTTATTTGCTCTTTTACAGCAACAAAGTTTCAGAAATCTTATTATAAATAAGTTTAACACACTGATAATACATCAACTATATCAATTATTACCTTGATTTTTTTCATTAATGTATGAAGTTTGGAAAATTTCGAAAAAAGATAATACATAAAGTACTACTACATAGTATAGTACTATTTAGAACAACTTTTACATGAGAACACCCTTTACAGCCAAGTTTTATTATATTAACTGCAAGTAACGGGATAACAAAGATGAGCTTCTGTCACAGGTAACAATTTAATAGAAAAGTAAATGTGGATTTCTTAATGCGTAGATAATTTATTACTTACTGAAAAAAAGAAGAAAAAGAAACACAAGCAAACTTAAAACATACAGATTATTCATTACTTATTGAAAAAACAAACAAACAAATTGAACAAGCTTAAAACATACATGTATATGAACTCACATCTCGCACTAATTGTTCTAGACATTGAATAAGTAACCATTAATCTGCTGGAATTGAAAGTAATCAGACTCTGCCGCAAAATTTAAACCGGTACAGAACGGAACTGTTCCAGCTCTAGGTTAACTGTTTATGGCGGTAACGAGGCTCTGCCAAGTTTCCGCTTTAAACCCTTACCCGAGAGCTAGATATTCATGTCTGTGACGACAGCCGTTGTTTGATTCTTTATCTTGCATAATAACATATTAATCATTTTAAGCAAAGAATTACAACAAAAACTAATATTTCATTAATAATAGCACTTTTTTCTTATAGAACTGTGTATGAATTTACAACTTCATTCTTAACAGCAAAATGATGTCATTCTATGAACGCCATTCTTTCATAAAATGTGCATGGGAATGACGTCAATTAAAGCGCATCACTTGTCTAACATAGGAAGTGCTAGACAGATTTTTCTAGCACCGTGTAGACCATAGAAAATCCTGTCTGATATGCAAGAAACTTGGTTTCTCAATACATGAACTTGTATTTTGAATGGACTCTTAAAAATTCCAAGCAAGGCAAATCCATACCACAAAGCATGGCAAATCCATTACAAAATGCAGGGCAAATCAATTACAAAATGCAGGGCAAATCAATTACCCAATTCAGCAGGTTAAAGGTTAAAACGTACAATAACATTATTTTGTATATGAAACAACATCTCACATTTTTTTCAATCATCGAATAATTAACATAATAGGAAAAAATGTATTTTTGAGAATAAAAATACATTGAAGAATAGAATCATTATAACAGAATGTAAATACATGTACATGTATATCAAACAATATGGCAACTTGACCTTTCACAGCACAAATTTTTACCATACCTTGTAATTTCATTGCCTTATACACAAAACAATATACAAAGAGTAAGTTTAAGAAGTCAAAATTTTCATTGCCTTATACTTTAAACAAAATACAAAAAGTAAGTTTAAGTAATCACAATTTCCATTACCTTATAAACAAAGTTTAAGTAGTCAAAATTTGTCATTTTTACTCCATTAAAGTAACTTGTTCTTATAATCTTATCCAAGCAGAAAACTGTAAACTAACCCTTAACCTACCTATTTGTGTAATGGACTTTCTCTGTTTTAAGTTTTGAACAGTCCATCAAATTTAGAGGGGATTTCAAAATCAAAAATACAACAATTGAGCTACCAACAATGAAGAGCTTGTTCTTACTGCATGGATGGCTCTGTACTTGTTAATATTACTTTCTGTTTCCAATGCTTTTCACTCAAATCCCTCTCAGAATTGCACAAAATACGATTTTCAATTTATTTTCAAGTATATTTTTAAATTATTCTTTGTATATCTCTCTATTTTAAAACCCAAGTTGATCTATGTAAGAAATTCAAATTTAATGTTTGGGACCTCAGTGGAGTTCCTTTAATGTCAAAAAGAACCTTTCATACTACGAACTATTTTTTTTAACAGCTTTTCAATAAAAGGAAATTCAATTTCAATGTAAATGAGCTCATAATATAATACTTAAATGGTACATTGCATACATCCCATATACATTTTTGTTTTTGTTCCTGTTTTATTAAATATTTTGACTGTTTTCTATCGCATGCCCTTTCGACTTTTTTAACACACTAGAAATAAAATGGTATATATACACATGACTGCACTATCAATTAAAAATATTGATTCATAAATACAGAAGCATATTTATACCACTTATAATTCAAAACTTCTGTAAATTATCTGAGCTGAGTTACATTCAATACCGGTACTGGCAATGTTTTGTCAATTCAAATTCAATTATTATTTTATCTCTATGTAACTTCAATTATTCATAAAGCTCTTTTCAAACTATAAATAACATGTATCCCTAAATTCTGTCTGAATATATATATTTCATAGAACAGGCAACTTTCTAACATGCCAGGTGCAGGATAGAAAAAGGGTGTAGATTATATCTTTAAGAAAATCATGAAAATTAACAAATTAATTTGTTCTTAAATTAGTTGGTTATCGAAAAAGCAACCTTACATGACAGATGTGGAGGGGAAAATAGGTTCAGATATTAAATATCTTCAACAAAAACATGAAAGCATACAACTGAATTTGTTTTTAAATTATTTGGGTATCAAATAAGCAACTTTCTTACATGACAGATGTGGAGGGGAAAATAGGTTCAGATAATATCTACAACAAAAACATTATAGAAACTAACAACTGAATTTGTTTATAAATTATTTGTCAATTAAACAAGCAACTTCTCTACATGTCAGATGAGAAGAAAAAGCTTCAGGTAATATCTTCAACAATCATTAAAATCATTTAGAAAACTAACAATTGCTTTATTAACCCTTAACCCACTGAATTTGTGTAATGGATTTGCCCTGCTTTAAAATTTGGAAAAATCAATTCTGATTTTAAGGGATTTCAACATCAAAATACAATGTACAAAAATTGAGCTAGCAGCAGTATAGAGCCTGGTCATACTGCTCCGATGTACAACCTGGTAGAGCTGAAATTGATTCATTAAAAAGCATATTGACAATACATCCATATCGGATGACAAATATCGGCGATACACTGATATACATGACTGTATACTCCTAATTTCTTGTATTTAATTCACTTTTATACCTGTTGAAATGATTTCAGTAAAATAATGTTCTGTTCATTCTAAGATGCTGTGTCCTGTTTATAAATGTCCTTTTTATGATTTTTTTAACCATTTTATGTCATCACTGCTATGAAATGTGTCAATTATGTAACAACAGCTTAGTGTTAGACATGGCCACCTGCTTTTGTATATGTTTTGGGTTAATTACCAGAATTCATAGACATTAAATTTAATTAATAAAAATTATTGATTTTTTCAAGTGTGTATCAATAACTGACAGAAAAATATCAACGATACATCGATATCATCTCTATCGATGACAGCTCTACGACCTGGCTATTAGTCGTACTAATGTAATGGCGAAGGCTGATCAGTTATAGTTCCAGCAGGTTAAAGGTTAACCAAAACTTATGATATGCACTGAACATGCTAATTTCATATACAAGTACAAAAGTACTTAAAATTTTCAACATTGTAATTATTACAGGTAACTGACTCTCTTTGGATTACCCTCGCACAAGAAGCTGTACATAATGTACAAGTATCATCATCATATGATTTTAAATTTCAATAAATGTTATTCAAATAATTGTAAAATATAACTGAATATACATGTTTTTTTGTTACAATCAGGCAGATCTAAAGAATGAAAGCAAACAAACATGACACACAAATGAGCCGTGTCACAATAAAACCAACATAGTGCGTTTGCGACCAGCATGGATCCAGACCAGCCTGTGCATCCGTGCAGTCTGATCAGGATCCATGCTGTTCGCTTACCAACTCAATTACAAGTAGAGAAACTGATAGCGAACAGCATGGATCCTGGTCAAACAGTGCGGAGGCGCAGGCTGGTCTGGATCCATGCTGGTCGCAACGACGCACTATGTTGGTTTTGTCATGACAAGGCTCAAATGTAGAAACAAATTAACAATAACTAATTAAACAAACTAATTAAACAAAGGTAACAAAACAATTGTTAGAAAATAATTTGCACAATTTTTTTTTTAAATTCATTTAACAATCAAGATTTATACAGTAACTGATATATAAAATGGCTGCACACTTATAAATCAGACTAGCATTACAGGATTAATTGTAAGGCATAAAATGTGGAATGATGGTAAACAACTATTGGCCAAGTGCAAATTAAAGACCACACCCATTTACCTCAGAAGGACAATGTTTACATTCATAATTCACTCTTAAGAAGAATGTGTCAGTCAGTAATCTTTAAATATAAACTGTGTGTACTTTAATTAAAGGCACATTATGCCTCTGAAACACTAACAGTTTTATTTCTCAAAATCTAACTTTTTGGTACAAAGTGCACATTTATTACTTTATCAACTACAATAGGTACATTCATAAATACACTATGACCCATGTGTTTATTCATTTATCTTTTAACCCTTTCGCTGCCAGAGGGTTATTTACTTATTGATCACCTATTTGCCAGAAGGTTTTCTTAGAAATTACTATATTATTAATTAATATAATTATTTCTATTTGTTATTAGTATTATAATAATTCTATATATTTCCAAATCTGCTAGTATAATAAAAATTATTGTCGATGGTATAATTATCTATATATTCATTATTATTATTATTATTAATAATATTATTATTATTATAATCATTTTTAATATTTTAGAAACGGCAAAAGCCGTCCACAGGCAAAAGCCGTCCATATGGCAAATATGCAGAAAATAATAGGGACGGCATATGCCGTCCCTATGGCAAGCAAAGGTTTAAGAATGATTTCTTTCACTCACTCATTCATTTATTTATTCATTTGGAATTACAGTGAAAAGACACTATTAGTAAAGACCTTAAAGGAGAGTTTTGGCCTAGTGTTTTAGGTTTTACCCGACAACCCTGGGATCCTGGGTTTAAGCCCTTATAGGGTCATGACAATGTTTCCTCAAATGACATCAGTACTGGTTACTTCCAGAAAGTGGACTTGAGAAAATAAATATGTTCAAACTAATACCCCACAATTTGTGAAATTTAGATTGTAGTTTTTACTTTCAAACCTGTCAAAATGACCATCTTTACTAATAGTGACCCTTAACAATATTATATGAAACCACATCCTTGTTCAGTACCCATAATACAACACATTTCTTTAACAAAACATACAAAAATCATCTAAAATATAACATTTTTGCACACACTTTTTACACTAAATTGCACACTTTTTTATATTATTTGCACACTTGCATCAACACAGTTATACATTGTTATGTGATCTAAACAGGGCTCATTGTTACATGTAAATTCAATAACATAGATAGCACTTTGAATTAAACAAAGGAGGAAATTAAAATGACATTATGCTCATTCTTTTATTGTCAAGTTGAGCTAAACTATTACAATGTTTTAAACAAAATGTTTCGGACACAATATATATCTGCCTGAATGATATAAAGACTACCCTACTCTTTTTTTTTATAAATATATTGTTTTATCACACACCCGTGCCGATTTTGCGACTCCGTAAAAATGGTATTGCACGGCCGTGCATATATTTTGACGTGACGTCATTATCTATATACAAACATAGTGTAAAGACGCGCTAAATGTTAGCGGTATACTATAGGCGCGTCAATGAAAAATGACTCTCATTTCACTTTAAACGGCCTTTATTTTGGGTATGTGATAAATAGAATATTAAATTCGTGTAAGTTCATTACTGAATTTATTGCATTCGTTAAATAAAATAATATTATATTTTATTCAACTCGTGCAATAAATTCAGTATTGAACTTACACTCATTCAATATCCTCTTTATAACATTGCAGATAAAAATCCGATGGATATTACTGAAATTTCCTAGGGTAAAGTATAAAGTTGAAAGAAATTATGGGAAAATGTAAACTTATTTTTGACTTTTACCTGTTCACTCACTATATACCCTTCGTTGGGCATAATGTCACTTTCCCATCACAATTATTTTCGGGTGTAACATTAATTTGCATGTAAATCTGTCAACAAAATTATCAACAACACCCTTACCTTTCACAAATACAAATCAAATATTTTCATTCTTTATAAGATGATGTAACAACAAAAAGTTGATTTAAAAACATATACATTGATATAAGGAGTTTATGAAATTTTTTATGATACAATAATTAGGTAGCAATATGCATAGATCCATGACCTGTCTAATTCTAATTATCAGATTAGTGGATACAAATAAGAATTTCACCACAACATTTTTGATAACAAAAGAGCACATGTCAATGTTTGTGGTTATATCTATTGTTTTTCAAATAAAAAGTTCAGGGTAGGGATCTATCAATTGTGGTCAAGCTAAATTTACTTCTACTCATTCCTTCACTGGAATACACTTTTCCTAATTGCATCAATTATGGAGATTATTGAACCTCCTAGTTTAAGTGTTGAAAAATCTACCACACAGTTAACTAGAAACCTAAAACTAAATCCATCTTAAGAAAGGCAAAACAAACAACAAAAAAATTATGTTCTGTAGTTATTATTTTTTGTTCTACAGTTTAAGAATTCAAATTTAAATTATGGCATGACAGATGATGGTGATATTTTCCTTGATCAATTTTGTTCACAACATGTACATGTACAACTTCTACAAACATATCCCATAAATGTTTGCTTAAAGTGGATTGGTCAACAATGGACATATTTTCAGTGTTGATTAAAAACAAAAGAAATGTATAATTTGGATATCATATTCTTTCAAAATATTTCTTGGGAAAATGAAAGTTCTAAACGATCAAGTATGAACAATTAAACAATGAAAATAATATTTTGTATCTTACTTTTTCAGTATATATGCATCTATTGTAATTTGTTGTTATGTTTAATATTAAATACAATGAGCATAATTATTAATGGCATAACAGACTTTCCGCACAAGTACAGTATTTAGCTTTTAAAGCTTTACATCTCATCAAAATGGAATTCACATCAACTAAAAAATACATGTACATTGTATAATGTAAACTAAAACATAAAAAAAACCAGCTTAATATAAATATCTGTCAAACAGCACATTATTTGGCCGATTAAGTTAAAGCTATTATTATGGAATTCTTTTCAAAGAAACAAAACATTTTTGGTTCTTTCCTGTACTTTTTACCACAGTAATATTCTGCATGTAGCAAATAAATCTAAACATAAAACATAATCTGAAAAAAAGAATAACTTCATTTGAAATCATTAAAAAAGCAAAAATTAAATATAACTAAAAATATAAGAATAGATGACACCTATTAACACTCAAGGCATGTGCATATACCAATGCACTAATATGTATATACATTATTTGAAAGTCAAATAAAGTCCCACAGATGATTTATGTTGAGAATAAAATAATGTTTTTGTAATAATTATGAAAATTGTGGCAAGTGGATGTGACAATGATTTGTAAGACAAACGATGAAAAGACATTTCCAGATATGTGACATCAAAACTGTTATCTTCATTCCGACATCTACTTAAGGGCAATAACTCTACAAACAAAACAACACAACTGACAGGATAATGAGTCTACAGGTCAGAAAAAGACTATTTTACCTTAATCTGATGACAAAGGGTCATAACTCTATGACAGAAAAAAACAATTGTTATACCTTGATCTGATGAAAGTCCAAGGGCCATAATTCTACAAACAATATAACTAACAGGAAAATGTTATTGAAGGGTAAGAAACACTGATGGCTGAAGCTGATGAACATAAAGTACCATAACTCTTCAAACAAAACTTTTGCTGGGGAAAAAAGTCCATGATGACAATAAAAGACATAAATAGGAAAGAAAATCATGTTTCTATGAAATGAATTGTTTTTATAGTATAAATTGTAGAAATATTTTCCAGGAAAATGTTGACAAACAAACTTGTTTCATTTATAACAATCATATAACTTTGTTATATTTAAGACATGTAGGAAAGGGTACACACTTACACTTATATATAAAATGTACTTGTAACACTCCTATATTAAAAACAGAATGGCATATCAGTATGGATTTCTTTCAGAGAAGTATTCGCAAAGAAATATCGTACATAACACAATGTTTGAGTAAAACAAGAATACTTACATGCAAAAAGGTTAACAACAAAACCAAGGCAAAATATCTTTATTTTGGCAATTTCATCCTGAGTGTCAAGGTCTTACAAAGGTCAAGGTCACATTTTACTAGGTCAGAATGAAGTTCTCACATCAGAAGTAAGATTCATCAAGGATAAATAAGGGTCTAGTGTTATAGTTTTGGATGAACATGATAAAATGTTTCCTACAGAGAGGGAGGGCAGACAGAACAGATAAACTCCCTGATCTATGTGTGTTACAGTTTACTGGCAGGGGTGGGGGATGAAGGGTGTGGGTGTCATAAATTGTTATCCCTATCTAAGTACTACTGTATAAACTACTGTATAAACTTTTGATCATTACTGCTAGATCTATATTTCTAAATTTCAACAAAACAAATCAACAAGATATGGCTTCTTAAAACAATATTTCACAAACTTTGTATTCAGACAGGCATCCTGTACACACTATAATTATGCACACTGTAATTCATCTTACTAAAATTCTTAATATCAACATTCAAAATGTGTTTCCTTTCTATATAACACACAATTACATTTGCACAATAGCATGGAAAGAACATTTAATATAATATGTAAATATAATCAAACAAAACCTTTCTGAACTCCCAGAGCTTTAATATCAAATTATTTACAAATAATTATAGTCAATAACATTATGAAAAGCATATGCTAGGGTTTACATATAGACATATAGCAGATTGAAAAAGACATAAATCCAATTAAAAAAGACATAAAGCCAATTGAAAAAAAAGACATAAAGCTGATTGAAAAAGACATAAAACCAATTGAAAAGGGCAGATAACTTAAAATGAGGTTGCTGACCTCCGTTTTTTCTCCATTTTTTCTTATAATATTCCAAGATCATACAAAGTTTAAATAAATTGTTATGTACATTTGTAGTTTTCATTCTGTTACCTGTATATGTCTTTATGTAATACTAGCATATGCCTTTAAAGTAAAACAATACTTCTAGATTAAATGTCTTTTATCTTAGATAATTTTGACTTCAGTGCATCTTGCAACATAGCAACAATTTCACAGCATTCTTGTGTAATAAAATTTACTGCATTTCTTAACTTATATATCTTAAAAACAGATTTTGGTCATTCCTAAATCAAGCTTGTTGCAAAGAAAAAAGTAAATATATATTTTTAGATTATAGCGCTTATTTACCCTGCAACCTATATATGTTATCAATTGTTATTTAAACAGAGTATATCTTAACATAAATACTGAATGAGATTGCATATGTCCCTCCCTTCTTTTGTTACAAATCTGAATGCTAACAATGAGAATAATTTGCTTATTATACCTATTAAAACTAATACAAAGTTAGGTGAAAACTAATACAGTTAGGCAAAAACAAATATAGTTAGGCAAAACTGCTTTTCTCAGTGAAGCCTGGCCAAAGTTCACACTATTTGCTGCTAAGTTTGACAATTTAATTGCAAAAAGAAAACTATTTTTACATTAAAATCCCTAAAATAAACAATGTGTTGTTCCACATCTAAAGCATGGCATGTCCATTCAGCTAAAAAAAAAGTTAAACAGAAAAATAACTTTACTACTAAATTAATTTATTAATTCAGGCACTATTATGACTTTTACAAAACTGGTGATCACTTTAACAAATTACCAAATACTGAAAAAATATTCACTAAAATGAACTTTTTTTTCTCTTTTACATCTTTAAGAGTACTAGGTGATATCAAAGATATAAAACCAAGTTGTATTTCTGGGTTATCATTCTCAGACTGTATCAAAATGTTGATGTTTGTTAAATTTATATAATCTTGTAACCAATATGAGCAAACTTTAACAACCATTTTTTAATTTTCTTTCTTTGTCATAAAAAAGAAAAGAAATCTACTAATTTCTATAAATATAATCTGTTTAATGGTCTCTAATATTGACCCCTAATTTTCAACAAATTGCATAAATTAAATGACCAGAACAAATACTGACATCGGACATTCATATCTGTGTCCAAATACATAAAACAGAAAGTTGATGACCAGTCTCAAAATGGAACACTACCATTGGTCAATTTCAAACCAGTTCAGAAAATCTTCCAATCAGATGCTTCAGTTTTAGACTGGTCTCCTACCTAAAGTTTTATAAGTTTTGTGGACAATAAATCAAAATACTTGAGGCTGTTGTTTACATAAGTACCAGTCCAGCTGCTAATTAAGCTTCCTCACACTGTCACACCACTGAATCTGTACATAGTTTGAAATCTCTCATGCGTTGTGGCGAAAAAATGTACATTTTCGGTAAATAATAAAGTCAAATATCACAAGAGGGCAAGTTCAAGACCTTTTAAAACCTTCAAAAGCTTGATGAGTTTGAAATGCTGAAATAAAAGTACAAAGTAATATTATTATATAATTGCCTTTGATTAATTACTGTTATGGTATAAATATATATAATTTTTGACATCAGACATATCTTGACAAGAAAATTGCTCAATTCTAAATCTGCCGAGTTTACACAGTGGATTTGCCTGGTTTTGAATTTTGAACAGTCGATGTAGGGATTTCAATATCAAATTACAAGAAGAGATATTTGTAAAACATGCATGTCCTCATCAACAGCATGTTAGAAGTTGCATGCAATATTGCTCAAAATACATTTTTGCATAGATATCAAAAGTCAATGTGAGCTTGAACTTTGAGCTCTAAAAAGGGTTATTTACTGCCAAAACCTATACTTATATGAAGTTTAAGGGCCAAGGGCACATTAGTTGTCAAGTCATAGGTCTGAAATCATTTTGACATACAAGGTCAATATGACCTTGAACTTTACTGTGATCAAAAGGGGTCATCTATTGCCCATGACCAATGCATCTGTGAAATTTGGGAGTCGGGGGCCAATGGGTTGTCGGGTTATTGGTTGAAAACCGTTGTGGCATACAAGGTCAAAGTGACCTGAACCTTTATTCCCATAACCCCAAAACCATGCTGCAAAACAGTATGTCCCCTCTTCTACAAATGAGGCATGACAGAGGGGGATCACAATAGCTCACTAAGAGCATATGTGCTATGAGCATATGTGCTCAGATGTCTTGCTCAGAGGTACTTAAAATTTTGCATACAAATAAATCACATTAGCAAAGGAAATCTTAATGATATAACCCAAACTTTTTATTTTAAGTTAACCTACCTTTATAGAATGCAGCTGTAAACGTGACTTTGGGAACTAGTTCTTTCACTTTTTCTAACATATTTGATTGTTCTGCTAGTTGTGACCGTGTATTCCATATAGTGACAATATCGTCCCTCTCTCGTATACTAACACTGATACCACTTATCTCATCACCTGTAATAAGAACATCCTTCAAGACACATGTTACTATAAATAGTAAGGCCAATTACTGGTCAAGCCCTAATCTGCTGTGCATTCATCTCTTACTATGTTATACAAGAAAAAAAGCAAACAATATTCTGCGTCCTAATAAAAATATAAACGCTCTTGTTCCAAAGTTTGAAGTCAATAATGTTTGATTCTACAACTGTTCTATGGTAGAATGGATGAATAGAAACCAATTATGGTGAAATGTCTAAATTTGAAAATTTGACCTTGAAAAATCAAGGTCATGTAAGGTAATGGCAAGGTCACTTTTCAATGCATCAAATAATCATCTATATGTATGCTGTGTGCATGTATAAAGGCTATTATATACATGTAGACTGAACGTATTAAGGAACTGGCAACAATCTAAAATATTGTTGTTTTTTTTCCATATAACTTCTTCCTGGAAAATCAGTCTGAGGTAAACACAAATTTAATGATGACTGGGAAAGCAGAATCTATAATATTTTTTGTGTGTTTTTAGCATATATTTTATACAAAAAGAGTTTTATTTAAAATTCATATACTTCCTAACTTTCCATAGAATTTAGCATGAATCTGCTATGCTACAAAAGCAAAAACTGACTTAAAATGTTAAAATACTTTATATGAGACATCAACAGTATAAAGATTGGTCAGACTGCACAGATGTGGCGGCTGCCTTACTCTATTGTTGGTATACTATAATCGGTCTATAATTACTGCTGATTTACATAACAATGGATGTCATAAACCACGGCATCTGATCCCCTACATTTCAAGAATGGTTCCATTTGCAATGAAAAAAATTAAAATACTCTTATGATGAAGAAAGAAGTAATGAAAATATTGGGAAAGTTTACGTACCCTCCATGAGGAAGTCAGATAAATGTTCTCCTATAGCTGCCAGCAGCAACTCTTTCCACACTTGAGGCTATAAATATATAAGATAAATGCTTGATCTATCATGTATGGAAGTCTTGCATGATCAAGTGGTTATTGTTGATGACTGTAAATCACTTGCCCCTCACCACTGTGATTTTACAAGAAATGTGACTAACCATAACTCAACACCTCTAGTTCATAGGTTGGTGATTCTATTTTACTAGTAAATTGAATGTTTTTCCCCTACCAGTAAAGCAAGAAAATCCCTAAATAAATGACTGTGTTGGTGAATCTTTTAATCTGTTATGTCATTTTAAACTATAATCTAAGTAAAAGTTGAAGATGTTTAAAACATTTGTTCAAAATAATCATTAGAACTATATTTCTATATAAATTCACATCAAAGACTAAATGAAATATTATAGAACCTAAAATAAGTTAAAAAAAAAATGTTACAATGACCCTTTTTTAATACTTGAACACTTGAAACCTGCTGAAACCAAATGTGATGAGACTTTACCACTTGTATAGAACCAGGCCAGACTGCACATTCACAACTCTGACCAAGCTGTTGCCACTTGTATGCTCAATTTTTGTATTTTGTTATTGGAATCTTCTCAACTATGCATAGACTGTTTCAACTTCAAAGCAAGGCAAATCTGTTACATAAATCTACAGGTTAAACGTTAAACACAAACTTTTAGCGTAAGGTCAATAAAATATATGTGTATAAATAATAAATCATACAGTATCCCATTTGTGACACTTCATTCTCCAGTTTCCACCATTACAATTGTCTTTATCCTCCCTGAAATGATAATGATATCAATTAATAATATATCTACAATTAAGCTGAGACCTCTAAAGGAGAGGTTTTTTTTAGTTAAAGAAGCCTTTTTCATTTTGTTCGTAATCTAGGTCACAAAAGTGTTAATTTAACCAAGTGTAGTAACTCTTTCCAACCAAAGGTGCAAAATTTACAATTGCTTTTGATATATGCAATACAACTTGAATTTTTTTTTTGAAAAGGACACCATTTCCCTAATTTTGTTTCATGATAAAAATAAAAATAACATGTAAGGTACTAAGTAAATCAGTATAAAGGGGAGATTATTTTGTAGAGAGGAAGACTGGTGTTGCAGAGGCGTGATAATAAGATCTGTGAACACAGACACAAGAATTATATACAGTCAATGCATTTAAGATTTTGAATTTACTGGCCCGAATTTCAGTTTTGAATTTATTCTACTATGTATTTAACTCACTTTTCTTAAAATTCTATTTGGCCCGAACTAATTTACACTGGCCATAGGCCACCAGGTCAGTGCTACACTGTAAAATCGATGACTGTAAAGATCTCAAGTTTTCCTTACTACAAATAAAAATTGCAAACTTACCATACAGGTCTCCTCTCATGTCTCATCAGATGATAACTATATCGCGAGTTTAACTTGCTTACATCTGGTATATTGTTATATACACTCCAAAATCCCTGTAGAAATATTCATATGAATCTTTGTATTAACCATCATCATAATCATGCAAAGACTAAAGAACTCAGCATAGACTATTAATGCTTCAAAGACTTTCAAATTTGTTATGAAGAAATTTTGTTATTCAAAATACTCAGTAATTACTGAGTTTATAATACTTTTAAATTAAAATGTCAAAAAACAGAAATGACACATAAAAAATACTTCCTTTAAGACCCATTAAGCCCTCAAAATGATAATTTTATTATTATTTTTACAAAACATTTTTGGTTTTGGTGTCTTTTTACAGTTTCCAAAATTTACTCATTGTCCATTTCAGGTTTTAGATGAATATACCTGAACTGTGCTGACTGTATAAAGTTTTCTGAGACAGGCTGCATATTCTGCTGCAGATGTACCAGGGGTAGACCTGTAAATCAAATATAAACTAGCTTATATAGTCATTCCAAAGGTATAGAACAGTTACCATAACTACTGAAAGGGTGTAAATAGTCATATGCTGCAAGACCAGACATAATCATAATATGTGTGAAATATATCAAGTAGTTACAAATGCTGTGAGAGCATGAGGCAAATTTCCACGAGGCATCTCGGTGCAATAACATGAATGGGTATATTTGCATGCATTTATAATTTTACTGAACACCTTTGATTAGAAAATTTACCAAGAAAACATTAATGTCATTGATTTTTTTTCCGTAGATTGTACATGTATAGTCATACTCATTTAGATCACTTCAAAAATTGCATCAATAACATTTATAGATAGATCATTTAACTACACTTTTTGCTACCACGGTTATAGTTCTGGCTTCCATAACTTTATATGTCACTTTTATTTTGACATTGTGCAACAGTGAACAGGTCTAGCAGTACCATAAAACCTGTTCGCTGACGACTCTTTAGCTACACTTTGATATATCTGTTCTGATAATCTATATCTGTAAATAAAGGGATCATCAAGCTTTTTTTATATAAATACCTGATGAAGATCATGTAACATAATTTAGTGTCCAACGTTATTTGTCATCCAATGAAAACGCTGTTTTTATTAAAAATTCTTAGCGTTAGTACAAAAGTCGATACTATATCGAATTCCGTTCATAGTCAACTTCTATTTTTCATAGTACTTCATAAAACCACATAGTGACGTAATAAAGTGACTGATAATGAGGCCAAATAAAGTTTGACACTAAATATGTTAGTATTCATCCGTGCTGTTCTACAGAAATTAGAAACATTCTCCTGTCGCTATCGCTCCCGTCGAAGTTTCTAATTTCTGTAGAACAGCACGGATGAACACTAACATATACATAGTATTGACTTTTGTTAGGAATGCACAGGTCTGTGAAAAATGCATACTCTACAAATTTATACTTCAAACATTCCGTTAATTCGAATCTACATTAATTTATTATTTAGTACACATGAAAAACACTGAATGAACATGCTGCCTTAATATGACATTCTTTACTAAACACAAGACCTCTGCAATAAAAAATTATTATCAATTGGAAAAACTGTAACTGGCTAAGGATGCGCAACAGTTGACAAGAGAAAATGAAAACAAACAAAGTTAACACACTTGCTGTTAATTTTATCCTCAAGGTAACTACGTTTTGTATATACCGGGAGGTACTTTGTACCCAGAATGTCCAGATATTACAAATAATACTTACATGAAAAAAATTTGTATGCAAGTGTTTTACACATTAATTTCATACAAAATATGACATTTTTTGAAGAGAATTCAAAGTTTTAATAACCCTATTCACATTTTATAAATGTTTTTCACATAAAAAACAGAAGTATTGCTAACAATTTAGACCCAACATGTACATTTGAATGTGTGTGCAAATGCTTATCAAATGTTTACCCTTTACTGTGTGTGTGATAATTGATAAATATTGAATAGAATTTTAGTATCATTAGCAGTAATGGACCATTTACATATGTTTATAACTTTTATTGATTGTTTTAAAGTCATTCCAAAAGTCATTTAAAGTTCTTAAACACAACTGCCACTCATATGAGTTTTTTTTACAGAAGAACTGGTATCTTTTTGATTTATAGTTAAAATTTCTTTTGGATAATATTGTTATGTTTATAAGAAATGGTAGCTTTTACAATAAATAACTATTTTATCCTAGATTTTTTCTGTATTATATGATGGTGGGCAAAACAAGGCTTACATTCCTGGTAGATAGTACAACCAGGACTGGGGCGTAGCCAGCTTTTTTCAACTTCTAGGCCCATAAAAGGGGGTCGGGGGCTTAGCCCCAGAAGCCAAAAACAAGTTCAGATTAAAAAGAGCAAATGCGCGTTAAGAAGATTTTGAAGGAAAAATATCAAAAACAATAATTTTAAACTAGATTATGAATTTGATAAGGTGCAAACTTTACTGAGGACGGTAAATCATGCATAAGCCTAAAAACACTACTAACCCACTACGCCTGTTTTTATTGTATTTTGGGACTTGAAATTGTCAGATTTTTTATCAACTTGTAGGCCCGGGCCTACGTGGCCTAATAGTAGCTACGCCACTGCTGAGGATATATATTTCTATGATGGATTTTGAATATTTTGAATAAAAAAAGTTGCAATTGATGAGCTGTCTGAAAATTCTACTTTGGGTCACTTCTTGCATCAGCGGCTCATTGTATTCAGTTACAAGATAGTAATATGAGTAATAGGAGCCGCCATTTACAATGCAACTCAATGATAAAAGGAGGTGTATTCCGATAATGGAACAAATCTCAACTTTTCGGATTAATGATAATCGTCGAGTGTTCCGAGTGAAAACGAAAGTGGTGCATGAAATACCGATTGACACCTTTAAAACGGAAAAATGGAAGGAATTTTTAACAACTTCCCCGTTCATAGGCTTTGCCTAATTTCATATTTTATCATGCCATTACTATGACAACTGCCTGATAAAGCCTGTCTGAGAATAGCAACCTTTCTCAGTCAGTGACTTGAGAACACTATGTTCCTACGCCAGATCAGCACTGATGATGTTTATTGTTGGTATTGTTTAATTGACTTTGCTGAATATTTATGATAATACACAGTAAATAAATTGTTAAAGCAAATTGTACCAAAAATTGTGTTGTGTTATAAAATTATTGGTAAAAACCCTCGGACTACTTTTTTGGCGTATAACCCTCTTGTGGTTACCGTACTTTCAGAAATTAGTGCCCCGAATTAAAAAAATAAGATGCAAAATCATAATAAAGGCATGATAAAAAGAATAACAGGTTACTGTCTTTTGAGAAAGGGATTTCTCAGACTCGGCTAGATATGATCCGGAAAGGGGCTCGGCAAGCCTCGCCCCTTCCAGGACCATATCTAACCTCGTCTGAGAAACCCTTTCTCAAAAGACAGTAACCTGTTATTCTCTATATCTCAGGGAATAGTATGGTCTGGTCGCTGTAATCAGGATGTCAATAAAACAGAGAGTCACAGTCAGTCACTTAAGTCAGGTTTGACTGTATTTCTAAAACGCTTTTAAATTTCAGTATCTCAAATCATTTCTTAACATGCAGAGATTCAACTTTTATTGCATAGAACTCGCAAAAATACATGTTTAGATAATTATTTTCATGCTAAAGAAATCCACCTCATATCGGAAGTAAATTTCAGCAGTAAGAAAACTTTCCAAGAATCTAATAACAAAGTAGAAAGCAAGATTTGCGTTTCAATTGAAAATTACTTGTCTAAATAAAACGTCCATGGTGTATTAAGAGGGACACCAGTTTCCTCTGATGTATGAATTTCACTGATAGCAGATCGGGCAAGCTGTGGACTTGGAGTCGCAACTTTTTCGGGTGCATCAAGATTTTTGACACTGGATACCGCCATTTTGTACCACAAAGTGTATCAGATCACGTGATCAAAACAAAATGTCTGTACTTGATTTCTCTTATAATAAAAAATAAAAATTATCGAACATTTCATTCCGTTATAAAAGACACTACATAGAATTTTAATTCTATTTTTCTAATTAAAAAAATCTAAGTGTATATAGAAAATAATAAAGAGAATAAGATTGAGAAAGTGAAAGGGGAAGAATGAATTTAGAATGATTTCTTTGTAGCCTCCTACATGCAGTTAGCTATCTTAACCGGAATAAATTATTAAATATATGTAGAGCTGCATATTTTGTGTCAAAGAGTATTTATTATTTAGTAAGTGTCTTTGTGATTTGTCATTAATCTTCGGCAGCCTGTATCACCATTATACGAAATTATCAATAAAGCCATTAAAATTGTATGATATGTGTCGTTTTTATATATACGGTTCATTTCATCACGGATTTATATAAATCCGCGATTTCATTAATTACAAACCATGTCACTCCATGATCTCACATCAGCGTACGTTACGGAACCATCCGATCCAATAAAACAGCAGACGATAACAGACGTAACGATAACAAACGAAAATCGACGCATGCGCGGACATTAAGTATAATTTCCCCGCGTCTTATGACCAAACCGTGCACATAACTAACAAATAAATCGACACGTGACATTCTCCCCTGCTAGGAGAAAAAAGTGATTCCTGACATTTTATTAACATACAAAACGACTGTCTCAAAACTGCAGTATACAATTAAAAAACAGAACAAAATTTATTTTGTGTTATAAAAACAGAACTGCATTTGAAAATAACATGTTCAAAATTACTGAAAATAAAGATAACTGAATTTAAAGGTTGAAACTCAAACCGTGACATCCTGTTTTAGCTTTCTCGCCACACCTTTGAGACACACGGTATCATTTCAAATTTATGCCAGCTGCCTGCGTCGACAAAAACATATTTTTTGATTGAATGAATATTTCGACAGGAATACACCCTGTCATAAACTGTATTGGAAGCACATCAATATTTGCACACTATCTGCTAAATTTCAAAGGTTTTAGTCGCATTGATTTGACGTTTAATATGTTTAATCTTGTTATTCGTGTAATATGATTAATGTCCATACTGTATATTAAAAAGAAGATAAAAAAAATGATTAAATTTTCGTTTTATTGTTATAGACAATAACAATTTATAGAGAATATTGAATGAGCGTATGTTCAGTACTGAATTTATTGAACAAGTTGAATCAAATTATATTTCGCGAGCCTCTGGTGACCAAACTATCATTAATTTTTATTCAACGAGTTCAATAAATTCTGTAATGTACTCACACGAATATAATATTCTTGTTATCACATACCCAGAAAAAAGTCTGTTTAAAGTGCAAATGAATCATTTTTCATTGACATGTCTATAGTGTAACGCTAACATATAGCGCGTCTTTACAACACAAATGATGTCACGTCAAAATATATGCATGGCCGTGCAATACCATTTTTCGGAGCCGCAAAATCGGCACGTATATATGAGATAAAAATGTTTTTTTAATATATGGATATGGCATTATATGAATAACAAGATTAAACATATATTATGTCAAATCAATGCGACTAGAACCTTTGCAAAATTTTAACAAAAAAATCGTAAATTTTAAAACTAATTTTCGTTATGAATATAAATTTGTGACGCCATTTAAAAATTGATGACGTCAACAAGATAAAAATCTTATCAAAACTTTTCAGTCTGTGATCCGACCACACGTGATGTGCTGAAACAAGCATTTTTCTCTAGATATTCAATATAAATTATGTTAGAAAATAAGTCTGTTATAATAATTATGACATAAGCAGATAGCTATGTGGAATTTTCAAATGATTTAAGTAACATACAATTAATATACCATACATTAACTTTGTCTAAAATATTATATATAAATTTCTTGCATATCAGTCAGGATTATCACCGGCACGTTTACACCGGTGCTAGGAAACCCTGTCTTACATCCTAGTGTAAAAATAGTGATGTCATTGCTGAGCGCCTTTTATGATTGAGTTCTAAGGATATGATGTCATTTTACCGTTCTGAATGAAGTTTGTAAGTTCATACGCTACTATAAGAAAAAAGTGCGTAATGAAAATATCAGTTTTCGTAATTTCTGTTTCGAAAATAATTGATATTTAATATGCAAGGAAAAGAATCAAATACTGGCTGTCGGTACAGACAGGATAATATCTAAATCTCGGGTAACTGTTTAAAGCGGAAACTCGGCAGAGCCTAGCAAAACCATAATGAACGAAAAATAAGCTAAGGGTTACCCATACATTTTGAGCGATTGGTATTATCACGGATTTATATTACATAAATCCGTGGTATAATGAGGTAAGTGCAGAGAACACTCGCCATAAACTTATGGAGAAAAATAGTAGAGAACTTATTTGAAAATTATCATCAAGCAAACCCATTTATTCTTAGATCATATGACACACCACGTGATACATATGACTTGTCAAGATGGCCGACAACATGTCGATTGTTCAGCTAATTTTTGTAATTTTCTGTTCCTTAATCCCGGGCGTAGCGGCGTTTGACGCTGGTGATGCTATCGCCTTAGTATTGGGACTCATAATAGGAATACTTGGAATATGTGCTTGTTTAGGTTATTACGCAAGAAAACGACAAGGATAACTAAAATTTGTATGCAATATTATACAGGGGGAGTATCACTATCTGTGAAGGATGTACATATATTTCCTTAGGGATTTTATATCTTTTATTGTGAACATTCCATAGCCATATGAACAAATGTTAACCAGAGTAAATGTTAGAATACGTGGAAATTGCTGACAGTTGCAAAAATGTCACCTGTGTGGGAGAAAGTGTATTATAAGAGGACATCATGTGATAAAATAGGACACCATCCAGTCCAAAATGTCCAAAGATTTAACATTCTCTTTGTGTGATTAATGTTACATTCATCATATATACATATGAAACACCATTAGAAATGATTAATTAGAAATGACACTTAACTACACCAAGGAATTACACTACACCAAGGGATTACACTTCAATGCAGAATGAACATTGTATACTGCTTCAAAAGATAATAAAGAAATCTACTGTGTTAGAACACTCCAGAAGACCCGAAAGGATGATGGGACCATACCATTTTCAAAGACATATTTTTCAATTTCTGTGACATTAATAAATTATAACATATTTAGCACTTAAAAAATATTGTTTACATGAAAATTTGATTGAAAGCAATCACATGATAATACTCATAAATTATGAAATATTAGCTTTTATCATTTTGTCTCACATAGATAATAGTACCATGATTTATTAACCAGTTTTGTGATTAGAGTCATACTTTTGTGGTATGTTAAATGTATGATTTAAATCTTCAAATCAATCCATTGTATCTAGCCTCACATATCATTTATGTTTGTTTGAAGAATGTGCTATGTTTTAAAATGAGTTGTTAAATGATTATCATTCACCATTGATCATGATTATTTTCAATTATAAAGATATTTATAACTGCTTTTTGTAATCTTGTTATCTTTTAATTTATGTTCTGTCATATAAAATACTGGGATCCTTCATACTTACCAGACAATCTATTTACTGGACAAAATTCATTCCTGTGGCATAGCACTTTATTTTTGTTTTGATTCCAAAGTTATTTGGTTTTAATATCTGGTTTGAATCACAAAGACGCTTTCTGTTTCCAAGTAAATAACAGTTGTTGGGTAAATATTGTTGATTCACTTCTTTATTTACTTACATCCCCTTTTGTTGGGTCGCCTTGAAAAATTATGGACTAAATGAAACTTCATAGGATGATAGATCTCATTAAGAAGAAGTGCAGGCACAAGAACCGGTACTCTGCACATCTTATTTTTTGAGTTATTGCCCTTTGTTAATTTTCATACTTAATTTTTGTCGGGCCATTTCTCCTACACTTTATTAAAAGCTTTTGACTTGAACTTTCATAGGATGATTGATCTCATTGAGAAGAAGTGCAGTGCACAAGAACTTGTACTGACTGCACTTCATAATTTTTTAATTATTGCCCTTTGTCAATTTTCTTACTTAATAGGCTTTTGGCCACTATAAGTTTGATTGACTCCAAATTTAGTATGTTAGCTTTTTTCATTGACCTCAGTGCAGTGCTTAAGAATCCATCAAAGAGTACTCCATTTGATCTGTCCGTGTAAAACTTTTCCATGGTATTTTTTTTGGATAATATAAAAGTTTTATTCATCCTGATGACTAACAATGTTACAATCAGTTCAAATGCCATTTAAGTTAAATGTACATGTACATTGTAAGATCAGTGTGTCAGAAGAAAATGCCTAAGTGACAGATATATTGTTCACAAGGCGACACATCCGACTCGAGTTCTAGTTAGTTTAACTGGAGGGGACTAATATGTTTACCCTTCGTCTGTCTGTCCCTCTGTGTGTCTGTCTGCACAAACATAGAGGACACAGGTTCTTGTGTGACTAGGAGAACAATAGGTTATGGTATATTTTCTTTGATCCTTTTCATTCCGTTTTTACTTTTTTTCTTTTTGTAGGCATTGTGTGGCTAAAATGACTAAAAAGATTTAAAGAAATTTCACATAAGTACCATTTTGTAGGTCAGTCTCACAATTTACATTGGTCTCTCCGTTGGCGTCCACAAAACTGGATCGCAGAAACTTAAAAGTACTGAAAATATTTTATGAATCTTGTAATATAGGTAGATGACAATCGGTAGATTAACCCTTTGCCTCATATAAACGCGAAACAACGCACTTTCGACCCCTCCTTTTTTAGGCCTGAAATAGTGAAAAAGTGTCCTATTTGGGCTCCAAACACGTTTTCGTTTGATAAATGTTGCTAAAAAAAGTGAGCACTTTTTCGGTGCCGCCCCCATCCAAAAGATACATCAGGGGGTTGCCAGAAGGGGGATGTGCCCCCTTCTGTTTGGCGGGTTTGAAGGGGGGCGGAGTCCCCCTCATTGC